AGAAAAGCATTTTAGTCAGCTTGTTGTGCTTCTCTACCTGTCTGGCTGCTTCAGTCCTTCTCAGTGTGAAGACAGAATTCATGGAGGGCGTCCCCATGGTAATAAGTTCCAGAATGTTTGGACAAAGATTTAAGGGTGGGCCAAACAAACTGCATGACTCACCACCATAGGGACATCACAGTTTGTCATCAGCCACACCTTCTATAAATGTGTGTGTGTGTGTGTGTGTGTGTGTGTGTGTGTGTGTGTGTGTGTGTGTGTGTATTGCCTATGCGACTAACAGGCGTGTAGAGTAACTAGTCATTAGACGACAGTTTGTCCAAAACATAGTTGTCACTGACGTTGCAGAGATCCGAATGTGTGTTGATGCACAAGCACCTGTATCGAGTGTGTGTTGGTGCACGCGTGACTGTGTTGAGTGTGTGTTGGTGCTTGTGCACCTGTATGAGCTGTCGACCTGCCAGCCTCTCATAAACAAGCAGTAAATTCAAAATCAGACAACAACCTCGGTTTATTTTGCAGCAATTAAAATTCCTCAGAGTAATGAAAGCCTCCGAGTGTATTGAACTTCAATAATATAACAGATGGCCCAATCTATCTTTGTCAAAATTTCTCATCAAAGGAAAGGAGGGGGCATTCATCTGCAATGAGCAGATAAACTGGTCACAGATGAATACAAATAGACAATATATATGATAAATCGAGAGTAACACAGTTGCACAGAGATTGAATCCGCATAGAGAATGAATGGAGCTGGCATGCTTCCAACTAAAGGAGAGAAATCCATGATTCATTTTGTTTTTGTACCCGGGGGAGCAAGATGGCCGGACGAGGGAAATTTAGAAAATGATTCGCTATTTAAACACAGAGAAGGAGAAATATCGAATGACTTGGTGGCTGAATAGACGGACAAACAGATTATGAAAAACTGATCAGGATGTAACAGAAAGTTCCTGGAATATCCAATAAAAAGGGTCCAATTGTGCTGATGAAAGTGTGATCTATTGACGACAGGACAGGAGTGTGAAAAAAGCTAAAAACAGACATTTGCATAATTCCTGCTTCGTGGCCAGCTTGGCACCTAAGATGTGAGCTGCTGCTGGGCGCTCCATCGATTTCCACCAGTTAGATGGTCAGTAGAACATATTTGGGAACTCTACGGTTTGTGAAACCAAATTGACAGAGAAGAGGAAAGTAAAGATGAGCTGGAGAGATCGAGTGAAAGTGTCAAAAATAAGGAGGTAAGACTAACATGGTAAATGGCCTGTATTTGATATAGCACCTTCTAGAGTCCTTGAACCCCCCAAGGCGCTTTACAACACAATCAGTCATTCACCCATTCACACACTGGTGGGGATGAGCTACTATGTAGCCACAGCTGCCCTGGGGCGCACTGACAGAGGCGAGGCTGCCGAGCACAGGCGCCACCGGTCCCTCCGACCACCAGCAGGCAACATGGGTTAAGTGTCTTGCCCAAATGACAAAACGACAGCAACAGACTGAGCGGGGCTCGAACCTGCAACCTTCCGATTACGGGGCGAGCACTTCACTCCTGTGCCACCGTCGCCCCATGAAACAATGAGACAAACAAGGAGACAAACAAAAATGAAAGTGGATGAAAAGATGACAGCTCCAATGTGGCTGGCCAGATATAGTAAATTATAAACAGCAGAAGGAGAAAACAGATGGAAAAAGGAAGAAAAAAATGTGTTTTTTAAATGCACGACACATGGTGAAATCAGTTCCAGGGCTGCTTTCATCCAAAAGAGTAGAAGACTTGTGTGTATTGGTCCAGCAGCAAGTCCCATCCAGCCGCTCTGATCCAGAGCAGCAACACGCCCAATCTCTTTCCCTTGGCAGGATGCTCACTGAGTGTGTTTGTGTGAGTGTGTATGTGTGTGCGTGCGTGCGTTTGTGTGTGTGTGTTTGAGAGACTCAAATCTCTGTGCATGCATCATGTCACTGAAATTTGCAAAGCTGTGTTGTGATTTATTCATGTGGGCCTTGGTTGGAACAGGTGTCACTGTATGTGGTTGTTTGGATTTTGACTTTAGTGACAAAGAACTATTTTGTTAGCCTAGAATCAAGACCGTCATTTGCCGAAGCAAAACATTTTGGCTTTGCATGTCGGTCTAGTACCGCTCCGTCAGAACCTCTGCAGCCCCGGCCAGTATTGGTGTAGACCAATCACTGCATGTTTATTTAGAAAAGTACTATGTATTTTCACCAGCAGGATGTTAGCACTGCTGAGCTAACAAGATGGCGACAGCCCCATAGCAGTCCAATCACAGTGCTCTATTGATTTAATGGGCCAATCACAACAGTCTGTTGGTGGGCGGTATGTTGCTGAAAAATCAAAGATGACGACGGCTCATTTGAAAAGGCTTTAGCATCAACTTTGGACTATTTAGACTTGGGCTTTTCTTTGAGTCAAGAGCAGATAGAGGTACTTAGGTTTATTTAGAAAAAGGACATATTTGCATCTTCTTTGATGGTGTATGGCAGACTGCCCAATTGACTGACATCCGTAGCGGTGAGTCCGTCACATTTTTTGTTGTCCAATAGCATACAGAGACAGTTAGAAAGACAAATGTATATCCCACCCCATGACTGAGAGCCACTGATGGGCTGTGGCCAGACTATATATACAAATGTATAGGATGGCTTGCCAGGCTACTATTTTGTGTGTCTGTTCCATTATTTATCAAAAGTCTGGACCAGTTTTTGGGCCATTCTAGACAAATCCTCATGAACATTACCCTGACCTAAAACGGTGAACGCGAGAGTTATTTGCAGGCCTGTGATTAGCCCAGTGACTGCTTATTGAGCCCTCTCATGACCGAAGTCAGTCTCTTAACAGTAAGCACTGCTTGAAAATCTATCATTCCCATTTGCAATCAACCAATGAAAATACACCCAGGAAGAGAGACACAAACAACTAGTGACAACACGAGAGCAGAATTAGCAACATTAGCAACAGAGCTACAAGCAGGAACATGTGGACCATTCTGCTTTGGAGTTTGGTTTGGAGTCTAACAAAATAAGTGTTAAAGGTGGTGCTTTTTCTCTTCTCATCGTTGTTGTCATGGGGATCTGTCAGATTTTAATGATGTGTGCTTTTCGGCGAGTGCACTCTTGATGTTAGTATGTCCTGCTACAGCGAGACATTGAGCCACTTGGCTCACTGAAATCTTGGACCATACAGTGTACCACCTGTCTGGAGTCTTCTCAGTGTGACATGATCAATCCTGTGCATCAGTCAAAAAACACACAATGTGGTCTGGGCTTCAGTTAGAGTAGCGGAGTTCAGCAACACTCTGGGACATTCTAATGTGTTCCCAAGTCAGAGACGATGTATAAGCCCTCTAGAGTGTTTGGGTATCCTCCCAGTGGGATGTGCCCAGAACCTCCTCAAATTAGACCAGTGTTTCCCAACCCTGGTCCTCAAGGCACATTGTCCTGCATGTTTTCCATGTTACCCTTTAAAATACTAGTTTTTCCCCTGCTGCCATACCTAACGTAAATGAATGAGTGATTAACAGGCATCAGCAGCACTTGGTGTCCTCCTGAGGAGCAAATGTAAAACAGGTGTGCTGAAGCAGAGGCATGGGAAACAAGTTGGACAGTGTTCCCTGAGAACCAGGGTCGGGAAACAGTGAATTAGGGCAATCAGAGGGCATCTTTGATGTCCAAACCACCTCAGCTGCCTCATTGACCATAGACCAGTAAATTAGGAGCTTTTTCCAGCTTTTAGCAGTGTCTTCATTAGAGCAAAGTCCATCATAGTTTTCATCATTTGCTAACAAGGCATTAAGATACTTTAACTTCTCTGATTATGATCTGATTCAGAACCATGTCCTCAAATTTGGAGGAGCTGCCTCATTCTCAGCCTTTCCCATTGACAGTAGAAAACAAAGAAACACATCATCTGCAAAAAGCAAAAATGAGACTGAACTTTCCAAACCAAACGCCCTTCACTCAGTGAAGGTTTTCAAATTCTGCCCATGAACACCACAGACAGGGTCAAAGACAAGGAGCAGGTCTTGCAGAGTTCAGTCCTCATGAGCTCCACTTTAAATGTGAAAAAAATATTTTTGACAAGATCCCATCGCTCTGAACAAATAAGGTCTGCAAACAACTCAGGGCCAGTGCAAGTTGAAAATAAAGAATCACAACCCTACATTTTAATGTGACTGTCATAAAAATGCTCATCTGATCATAAAATAACTCATTCAATTAATCGCAAGTGAATAAAAATTATATAAAATTCTAAAGAACCACAGAAAATAACATTTTGAAAGTCTGTATAAAGAGAGGATGTTCTACATTATTTATTTACCAGAGCTGCTCAAAAGTCAAATTACAGGCAGAAGCTCTGAACATGTTTCAGACCAGAAACTTCCTCATTAGTGGTGTCCTGTCCATTGGTACTGCTATGTATTCTGTCTTCCAGAGGACTAATAACCTAGTTTTCTCTTTTGCATCTGTGTTGAATGACAAATGTGTTTTTTCTCCTCCAGGGAAGGACAGAGCGAATGGTAACGCACGTATGCCTCACATGGTGGGTGAAAGTCATCATTCTGATGTGGACACATAAACAAACACATCATTTGCAGGAAAAACTCTGAGAAAAGAAAATAGTGCAGATGCTTGCAATCAGCCTCATCAGAGCAACTTTTATCATCTGAACTCACACAGAAGCACTAATTGACAGGTTTGATTGCTGCCTGATGGGGTTTTGATTATATATAGAGGCGAGACATGGACACCAGAATTCTGCAGGGCAACAATCTTCACCAATTAGTGGCTGCAGGAAAAATGAATGAAGAAATAACACTAGCAAGCTATTGACAAGATTCATTCAAGAAAATAAACTGTCTGATAGACACCCTAGCAATAAACCATGCAAGGTACAGAAATTATGTAGTTGCACTTGATTTATGAGTTTCCTGTTCTAAAAGTTAGTTTGAGGTCTTTCTGATTAGAGCATTTTTTCTTACCTCTATCTGCAGCATGGCGATCTCTCCCTCCAGTTTTCTCTTCAGGAGCACCTCCTTCCTCTTCAGCTCTATGTGTCTCCTATCATTGTTCATTTCTAACTGTAATTCTCTCATGTCCTTCTCCAGGGTTTCCAGAGCCATGTTGCCCTTGGCGACGGCTGCCTCAAGGTTGTTCAACTGCTCACGATAGTTGACCAAAACTTCATCTTGTTCCAAGAGCTGAATTCTGCTGTATGTGTACCAAATAGGATCCCAGTCATGATCATTTCTAGTTGTTCTGACACATTTATGGACATTTGGGAAATTTCAAGCCATGAACTTACAGAAATGTCTGTCGCTGAGTGGCCTTGTCTAGTCTTGTATTGACCTCCAGAAGCACCCCCCGTTGGAGTTTAATCATTTGTTGCAGTTGTGTGAGTTCTTGTTCATTGTCTTTGCTCTGCTGGCTGAGCTGATGTTGCATCCAGGTGACCTACAAGATATTAGGAAACAGAAAATTTGGGTATTTATATAATAAGTGTACCTCATTAGTACTGAGTTGGATCCTATTTTTTTATGTCAAAAGTTCAACAAAGTGTTGGGAACATTCTTCAGTGGTTCTGGTCAACATGGAAATGGTAGGGTTAGAGTTGCTGTAGATTTATCAGCTGCACTTTAGTTCATCCCCACCAGTGTGTGAATGGGTGAATGACTGGTGTGTTGTAAAGTGCCTTGGGGGAGTTGTGGAGCTCTACATAAATCCAGGCCATTTAACATTTACATTAGCAGTCTGAAGTATCGATGCATGGCAGAATGGATTCATGCTTTCATGTTGTTAACACCAAATTCTGACCCGACCATCTGAATGTTGTATCTAAAATCGAAACTCATCGATCCTGGTGATCCTGAGTAAATTGAAGCTGCAGTTTCCTGTTCTTAGCATAAACTCAGTGAGGTCTTCTGCTGTACCTAATAATCAGTGAGTTTATTTTCTCATGTATTTTCACTATTACTGTCCCCTCTATTGATATGTGGCATATGAAGCATAAAAGAAGCAGATGGGGGCATCCAGCTCTGCTCCTATGTGTATAAACTACCTCTGACAGGCCATAACCAGCTCTGTAATAAATCTCTTTGTTCTTTATATCATTTGCTTGTTTTACTTTGGGAGTGTTTAGCAGACGTTGCTTGGCATAAATTACAGCTGGATAGCATCAACTCTTGCATATATTAGTCTGCATGTAAAAAAAAGGTAAACAAAAAAAACCTATGTATTATATCTAATTGCCAAAGCAATTTGGAAGTGCAAGCAGCATGTAATGTTTCCTCACAGCCGTAGAAAATGACTTTAAAAAACAGTGGGAGGGTTTTAACCACTGCACATTCACGCACTCTTGTAAAGTGTGCTTTACCGTTCAAGTGCCTTGTGAAAAGCAAAAAGACAAGACTGAATGTGTGCTTGCTTCTCCCTCTGCAGAGGTTCAAAACAAGAGCAACGAGCCCCCGTTAAAAAGTTGGAGCACACTTGCTAACAAAATCAGCAGCAGTTTCAACGGTTTTAATTGTTTAGTATTGATTTTGCTGAGAGCGTTTCTCTAATTCTGGACCAATCACTGTGTTGTTTGGCTTAATCTGTTTAAGTGTGACTGATGATTCGAGTTTATGACAAAGACATTTTCTCCCTCTTGTGTGTTTTGTGTGGACCTCTGAGATGTCATTACGGAGTTTGTCTCTGGTTTTGGAGCAATTAGAAACCTCCATACGAGCCTTTGTGAGTGATCTGGAACAGACATGTGGAAAGAGCCAGATTAAGCTGATGTGGTTGCACATTAAACTAAGCCTTGTGACGGTATTTTTATGGACAACTGTACCGAGGAAACTGTCAAACGCACCTGTCCTTGCTGACAGTGATAGCGTGCTGCATTTCCATCTCGTTTTTCAGGACTTTAATCTGCTCCGTCAATTCTGTGATTGTCTGTGAGGCAGTCTCCTTCAGTCGGACATACTTGTTCTTCTCCTCCGTGATTAGATCACACAGCTTTGAATATTGTGATAATCTGAGGGGAAAATAAAGAATAATAAGCAAAGCTACAGATAAACTATTGATCTTAATATCAGGTTTATGACAGGTAATTCACATCTGTATGCCTTTGTTCAGCAAGCATATTTGTATCTACTTACTATATAGCTAATGTTGTTTAGATATACCCATAAAACAACATAAAATATTTTTAAGGGGTGCAAAAGTGGCTACTGGCTGGAATACAAACAATAATGCTGAAATCATACTAGCGAAGACAAAACGCCTACACAAGTGGAATTAGAAAAATACATTTTCAGCCCTATTTGGTTGCAATTTCTCTTTCTTCTGGGGGCCCATGATTCGGAAGTAGATGGGCGTGACTTGGGCTATATATATATATATATATATATATATATATATATATATATATATATATATATATATATACTTCCGGCTGCGATGGACTGGTAGATGGGTTCCTGGATAAAACGAAATAATGAATGTTATCTTCAACCAAGATATGTCATTCAAATCCCACGTTAAACTGGTTTGTAGGATTTCCTTTTTCCACCCTCGGAATATTGCTAAAATTAGAAGCATCCTTTCCAGGAGTGATGCTGAAAAACTAGTTCATGCATTTATTACATCAAGACTGGATTACTGTAATTCATTACTCTCAGGAAGTCCACAGAGTGTAGTTAAAAGTCTTCAGCTTGTCCAAAATGCTGCAGCTAGAGTTCTGATGAGAATTAAAAAGAGAGATCATATCTCTCCTGTCTCCCTACATTGGCTGCTTGTTAAATTCTGAAAAGAAATTAAGATCCTCCTTCTAGGGTTGTCACGGTAACCGGTATAGCGGTAAACCCCGGTAAAAAAGTTGACAATAAAAATAACCGTCCAGTTTTTAAAAAACTATATTATCTCGGTGGGTTCACCGTGGCCGCGGTTTCAGCGCGGTGACCCTTACCAGCCACCGTCGCTTCAGCTTAAGTTCCCGCGGCGCGCACATGCACTTTTTAGTTTGCAACGGCACCAAAACTTTGAAGCTGAAATAATGGCCGAAGGAGGAGACGGCAGCGCCCAGGACATCCATCAGCCCTCAAAGAAGACTAAATCGGAAGTATGGGCATATTTTGGATTTCTGAAAAATGCTGAGGGACAGTTAATGGAAGACTGATATCCCGTTTGCAGAACGTGCAGGAAACAAGTGTCTGCAAAAGGCAGCAACACTTCGAATCTAATGGCACATCTGCGTGACCATCACCCACGTCTCTACAGCCAGTGCAAGGTAAGTTAACATTAGCATTTTAGCTTAAATGCATGACGCGAGGACTTTTGGTTGAGGGAGAATGCAACGAGTCACTATATACTGCAGCCGCAGCGTCCTCTGCCAGCACTTAAACCGTGTCACGGACACCCTGTTGCTGGATGAAGCATCTTATTTGTTGATGATGAAGAGAAATATACAATTAGTTCCTTGTCATTGATTTGTTTACTTATTCAATGCCATTTATACTTGAACATTTGGATTTGATCACATAGTGTAGTAGTTATTTTAGTAATTTGTTTAAAGTGGCTATTTATTTTAAATACATATTTTTTTAAGGTTGACTTGTACAGTGCTCAAGTCAAGTGTGGACTGGAGTTTTAGATTTTCATTTTGATAATGAAGAAAACAAGTATATGAGAAAACAAGTGGTGTTTCTTTGATTTGTTTACATATTGTTTATGTTTTGAATGTTTGGATTTGTATCATTTAAACCTGCACTGACTACTGTAACATGTTCCAGAAAAAGAAGCTATTTGTTCCTTTACTTGTGAAAAGTTGCACTTTTGCTAAGGCTTTGTGTTATTTTAGGTTTAATAAACACTGTTAAACCTTTTCAGAACTATTTCAGTTTGTGTAGAACAGGACTATCAATGCTTTCTGAACATATGCAACACCGTTTAAAAAATACCGCGATAATACCGAAAACCGTGATAATTTTGGTCACAATAACCGTGAGGTTAAATTTTCATACCGTGACAACCCTACCTCCTTCTCATATATAAAGGTCTTAATAATCAAGCTCCATCATACTTCAGTGACCTGATTGTTCCATACCTCCCTAGTGTTTCCTGTTGAAGGTCAGTTGGTGTTTTGTTTGCTAAGGTTATGTTGCTGTAAAGCTTTCCAGTTAAGTTGACCTCTTTTAGGGGCCCCATTTTGTCATTTTTGTATTTTTGTTTAATTGGGTGAATAAAACCCTGATTTTTCTGATTCCCTTTTACTGTTGATCATTTAAAATAGTTCGGCCCCTGACAAGCTTGCTTAAAAGGCCAAAACAGAAAAAAATGAAGAAAAAACTATATCAAAAAATATTTTTAACTTTTGTTTTTGTTAAGAAAGGTCCAACAATAGATACACCACTGCCACAAAGTAATTTTAATTCAAAATTAGAGTATTTATTTCAAACAAACACTAGATTACAAACATTAGCTAGATGACAACTCGTGGATTCAGTCAGTTTTGATTTAAAATTTGTGAAGTGTGAACAATGACTGGTAAATATTACAACTTTTAATTATCATCCTTCTCTTTTTTTCCTGCTTTGTTTTGATTTTGGGAAATTGGTTCCATGTTGAGTGCAACAACGTCGGGACGCCGTCTGTTAACATGACCTTAATGAATGTATCCAAAGAGCTTGTTGTTGTGCTGTGAGGCGCTGTAGGCATTAGTCTGTGTCTGCACACTCAAGTATGACCAATTAGCAAGACACGGATTTCTGTGCAGCGTCATCTTTATCAGGACACACACACACACACACACGCACGCACGCACGCACACACACACACACACACACACACCTGCGCTGTAGCCCTGTGTAGAGCTTGTTGTGGTCGATCACCATCAGGTCTTTCTCTCTCAGCTCCTGCTGGATGCGCTCATTCAGATGCTGTGGGGAGATTATGCAGAAAAAAAAATTCCACCATCATCACATCTGTTTTGTCTGCACTTGCAGGTGTTGTCTGACATTTTGACTAAATAAACAAAAGCAAGCAATGCAGAGATCATGTTTATTTAAATGCATGTTTGTGTGATAGTGCCTTGGTCCTGAGCAGTCTATGGTGCTTCTGGCTCCTCTCCTCGGTTCTGATCTGTCTCAGACATCTGAGGTTGTGGAGCTCTTCTCTGAGGCGGTTCGACTCCCCGAGCAGCTCCTGAACCATCCCGTACTGCTGCTTCTTCTGGCTTTCCTCTTCAGCCAGAGCAAGCTGATGGGGGGAACACATTTCTCCAGTAAAAACTCATGAAAACTTGGGTGAAACTGAAAAGTTACTGACAGCAGGAAAACAGATAAGTCAATCAATACGAGGGATGAAGATGACTGCTGAGAGTTCTCCATGAGAGAATTTTAGTTTTCTAATGGGAGAAACGTAATAAACCAAGAAAGAATATCTTTTAAATTTTTAATAAATACTGTATCTATTCTGGAAAGCTAAACAGACAAAGTGATGTAACAAACGAATCAAGGCTTGTATGTTAAAAACACAAAACCCGGTAGAAACTGCTTTAGGCTATCACAGCTTTAGCCACATACCCCCACCTGTTTTTCAAAACTGGCTTTGAGAGCATCCACCTCTTTCTGAAGCTCCAACCTTTGCTGAATACCGGTCTCCCGTTTGGGAACAGCATCTAACTGAATATTCAGAGCAGAGAAAAAAATTGTTCAAATTTACATCTCAAGATGAGATCTTTCCTCTGCAACCGTGCAGGAAAACACCTTGACTTCTCACTACTCACTAGCTTTGTGTCGTGAACAGCAAATATAAAACTCGGGGTTCCTTTCAGAAAGAATGCAACAATACCAATTGTATGAGTGAAGCACTTAATAAAGCATAATGTATAATAAATTCAGACCACAATTCTATGGAAATATTAAAGCCATTAATCACATCCGTTAGAATGAGATGCCTTTCTGTGGTAAAACCCACGAACTCCTCTAAACAGCTGTCACAGCCACATTTATTATGAGCAGCTAGTCATTTGGGACTAATTATTGACAATTAAATGGAGTGAATCACATTGTACAATAGCTTAGTTGTCACAGTTGTGTGAAACTGAGACTTTCCTAATGCGTCACGTTGATTTCCTGTCACCTTTTTTTTTGTGCCGTTGAGAGACGTGCTGACGCATTTCCAAATAGTTTTGATCTTCCCTTTAATTTTGCATTCTAGTCAAAAAACTGTGAAAATAAACTGCAAAACAACAGGAAGATAAAGGAGTTTTAAAGCCCTGAGGGTGTAGTACAGATACCTGTGGCCAGATCTGGAAAATCTTTTCTCAAAGTAAAACAAAAATCATTATACAAATGACAGAATGTGCTGCAAATGCTTCCTATTAGAGGTTTACGGGTCAACTCTGAATATTTTAAGCTTTAATTAGAAGTGAAGCATTTACACATATATTAAATTAAAACATCAGGACCAACTGCTTTAAAATAAAGTTAAAACACCTGTGCTTGCAGCTCTTTGTAGACGGCCTGTGTGTGTGTCAGCTGCTCAGAAGCCACGGCCAGAGCCTGCTCCATCCTGGTGAGGGCTTGCGTCTGCCTGAGGAGAAACAAACAAGAGAGTCTTTAAAATATTTATAATGCTCATCATCTTCACATTTCTACCAGAGTCATCCATTGTTGTTTAGGGTTTCCTGCCAAGTTTAAACGAGGCAAAAAATGTAGCAATGCACAAGCAAAGACATGGAAGAGTAGGGCTGCAATCTGGCAAACTTTATGGAAAAATGCTGTTTTCTGTGCATATTAGGAACCAGCTGTAGCTCTCAGAAGAGCAGGTCTACTCAAATCCACCGCACGTCAGAAAATTTTATAGAAAAAAGGAATTTTGGCCCATTTTTTTACGATTCTTTGAAAAGGTTATCTCACTGACTGCGGATTGCTTCTCGAACAGACTTTGTTTAGAGAAGCAGCTTTTTCCCCCTCAGGACTACGACAAGCTAGTCCACGTGCAGCCAAGACCAAACTGCAATGTTACCATATCCAAACAAACAACAACAACAAATAACTAAATGAAGTGGTTCATACAGCTGTATTTCCTAAAGGTTTAATCTGCTGTTAATTTCACTTTATACATTTATTTTTTAAAGAAGTCAGTTTTACATTCTTAAAGGTGCAACATGTAAGAATGACATCCTGTGGTCAAATGTGGGTACCGCAGTCCATTATTTTCCACAAAACGTAACTTTGTGACTATACTGTTCCATGAGTTTTATGGCTGCTGCTGGTTATGGATCCGTGCCAGAAGATTTTAGAGGACAACCGAAGACAAGTTATACACAGTAAGTTGACAAGTGGGTGAATACATTGCTATTTCTGGTGTTAGCCCCCTTGCTGGTGTTTTATGGTGGGGAGCACTTACTACACTTATTACGGTAGTATGCCTCCAACATTAGAGGAAGGGTGGTTGTCTTCCTTCTTACTGTTGTAGTTCTGAATGACTAATTTTGATGACTAATAACTAAAATATTTATTAAATATCAGAATGGCAACTGGATGTAGCACTTTGGTGCAAAGGTCGAGTCTGGCAGGAATTTCTTATGAAGTAATATTTGCACAAACTGCTAAAAAATAGGAGTTGTTTAGGCTCCTTTGGCTGTGGTTTGGCATCCACAGATGCAAACATGTGCTCTTCCATTATGATATTTTATTCTGTTTATCCAATATAATGTTTCATTAGAGAAACTCAGCCTCAGTTAAAAATATTTTTTTCTAATTAATACAATTTAGGAAAATGTTTTCCAATTTATTTTATATTTTTGTTTAAGTTTAAATAAAAATAAGAACTGAAGAAAGGTTCAGGTCTCATGAGGTTGTTGCAGGAATACGCTTTGGTCTCAGTTAGCTTATCAGTCCTGAAGGATGTACAATACTTTACTTAGCTCAGTCAGATTTATAACACTCAAAACAATTATACCTTCGACACAGAAACACATTTAGAAATGGAGGAAATTTCCCCCTCAGCATTTAGCACAGCTCAAATGTAACAACTACTTTGTTTGGAGAAGAACTGAATACAATGTGTGGAAAAGTGGGAGAGATGGCGAGTCAGACTTCCTTTAGTACCTGCTTTTCTCCCTGAGCAGCACAGATCGCCTCTCGTACAGGTGCTTTCTGTCACTCATCAGGTTCTGCAGCTTCATTTCCAAGATACCTCTGGTAAACAAAACCCTACTTTACAGCAGCAGATCCTTTACTTCTTATAAATATAAAATAAGGCACTTTTAGTCTTCTTGAGTGAAGTCGCCACCTGTTTCCCAGGAGTTCAGCCATCTCCTCTTTGCTGACCTCCTGCTCCATCAGTAGCCGTCTCTGCTCCTTCAAGCAAACCTCTGTTTGGGCCTTCAGACCCTCCAGCTCCTGAATCGCCTCCTCCCGCATCATCCTCAGGGACTGGTTACGCTCATCCACCACCTTCACCTCATGCTCCGTCTCTGATCCCTCCAGATTTAATGACTCCATCTTCTTCATGTCAGCTCTGGAATTTATTTTGGGAAATAAAAACACATAAAACTCATGAACAGTTATTAGGATTTGCTGCATCTTTTGCATGAACTCACTGAATCTTTCAGCTTTTTGAATTTCTAATTAGCCTGTGCTCGTATTGCTCGTACAGGCGGTTTCCTCACATGACTTGAAAACCAAACATCAAAGTTTAAATAAACATAAAAAAGAAGAACTGCTTTGATGCTACATGTTAACCATGCTACAGCAGCACTCCTTTTCAAAAATTAATGATTAAAATCTGGAGCTGGTGGTTGAAGTTACTCTTTAAAGCAGCTCTGGTGATTTTTTAAGCATGTTTTGCTGCCATTTATCACATTTATGCCTCTGGTGAATGGCCATGGACCACTTGCTTCGTGCTGCTGGATCTACATTGAGTTGAGTTAGCTGTACTCACTCCCACTCGGAGCGTTTCCTCTCCATCTCCTTTAATATTTGGCTGTTTATCCCGATAATTCCAGCTTTTTCAGCCTTGTAACAACAATGCAGTCAAATAAAACACAACATGAGAAAAAGCAGATGAAAAGGTTATTAATTAATGAAGTACTTGTAGTTTCTCACTCTCTGTCTCTCTCTCTCTCTCTCTCTCTCTCTCACTCACACACACACACACACACACACACACACACACACACACACACACACACACACACACACACACCTCTTTGAGTGCGATGATCTTCTTCATTTCTTCCAGCTCATCGTGTTTCAGTACCAACATTTCATGTGTTTCAACGTCCTCCGACAGGTTTCTGAACGCATGATGAGAATTTAAGTAAATGAACCATATTTTAAACAGCTGTGGTGATTCTTATCAAACAGGCGCCATTTGAAGACACAAACATAGAAAAAAAAACGCCAACTGAGTAAAGTTATGTTTAAAAAACATTATTTAAAAATTTACATACAAAGGACAGCAAATAAACAGATAAACAACAAAAAGAACATAAAAACAAAAAGAAGAAAACTGGTAAATTAAAATGAAATCTGTTTAGTTTAATCTGGTTATATAACTGTATATGAATTTTTTTTGTTTACTAAATTAATAATAATTGTAGAAGGAAAACTTAATGTTTATAAATATATATTGGTGCTAATTTGGTTCAACTTCATTTAAATTAGATGGAATGACATGTCAATAAATTCATAGATTCATTAATTAAATCAAATATGAATGTATAAGTACTCGGTCATAAAGCAAGACATGGAGAAGAATACAACAAAATATGTCCATTCGTAATTAAAATAAAACTATAACAATCCAACTCAGAATTTAGTTTTTGATCAAATAGAACAAGAAACAGATTAATGGGAGGAGTATATATACAAATATTAATCTACAGAAATCAGTGTGGATTAAAAATTAAATAGAATGATAAAAAAAATTAGATGATAGGCTTATTCCATTTTTATTCCAGTTGCCGACTCATCACAGGGCAACAGAAATATGAAAATGCAAACTCGTGTTTGATTTAATCACCTAACAGGCCTTGTTAGAGTTAGCATCTGAATATGCCCCCTCAAGCTCAGGAAAGATAAAAATGCATCTCTAATCTACATCTTCAAGATGCATTACCTGACATCCAGCTGTCTCAGGGCCACCTCTTTCCTCAGATCCTCACATTCATCCTTTAAGGCCTTTGTGTTGCTTTCCAGCTCCTGGAGGACCCAGAATCACATATCAACAGAGTCCAGTTAGGGTGATGATGTCGCTGAGCTGAAGCTACAAACCCTTCACAGACTCTAGGTGTAGGATTAGAAACACCATCACTATGTGTGACGGCTGTGTCTAGGAGACACGGATTGATGCAAATTTTAAGCAACTCAACATGCTTGACTCTATTTAGCAGGAATAATTTCCTCCACAGCACCCATAATATTATGAACTTTCCTGAATTAATTAAATGGTTTGGTTTTATGTGCTGATGCAGTGAGTGCAGTTATTTTCTTTTTCAACAAGAAGCAAATTAGTTCTCCGAAACTGTATAGTTTTGGCTCCAATCATGTGTTTAAATATTCACCATGGGCTTTTTCTCCATTTCAAGGCCCCTGGGCCAGTGGAAGTGCCAGACAAACCTTGGCTCACTTGGAATGATCAGAAAATATTTTAACATTTGAAAGGTATCAAAACACCTCCAAATGTTACAGAAGCGAGCTTCTAAATTTATTCCAGTCGTTCCAGTCTCAGAGTATAAATTCTTCAGCAGCGCAGGCAACAGATTTGATAGAGTTTGATGCAATGCTATTGCGATTTACCCAAGGGTCTTGAGTTTATTCATCTCCTTCAAATCAAATTTTTTTCTTCCTTACAGAAAATGGCATGTTTCAATTCCTTTTTCTAGCCAATGTCTCAAAAGTAAGGCGGTGTAGCTTGGTAAGATTTGAAAATGCTCCACAGAAATGTGATGGAATTCTCACAATGTGAAGTAATGCAGGGTTAATACGCCCTGAGGCATCACGACTTCCAGCGGAGGCTGGGAGTTTAATATAATGGGTCCATAAAATGACGTATTTGGTTCCCTTCAATAAAACTTATAGAAAATATCAAACATAGAAAATGTATGCTTGCTTAAATTTTGAAATAAATAAATAAAAGACTTGTCTGAACTAAAATAAGTGTTGGGATTAAGAAAACTCTAAGCAAAGCAAAGAGATAATAGATATACCTCTAGAACATGTTCTGTCTGAAAAACTGCTAACAGAACGTGTTTCATCTGGGTTGAATGGGCTGCAACTTTTAGCAACTAGTTGGATACTCTAATTTGTTGTAGTACTGTCACTCAAAGGTTATGTGCTTTTGCTGGGAAAAGAAGCGTGACAAATGAGGGATGTGAACTATACAAATACAATTATGGCAACTTTTCCCGGTAGAGAACTTATTCACACCCCAAAAAAATGTATTTATATGAAAACGAAAATCCCCTTAAGACGTAGCATCTCATTTTTGAAGGGGGTCTAAAATAAAAGTTACAAAACCAGCACATACAAGTAAGTTAAAAACAGCAACACAAAAGCATACTAAAAATCGGTGAATGTGGACGTGTGACGCTTGAATCTTCCGGATGTAGGGACAGTTGTTCTCCCACCAAGTTAGCCACAGTTCGCTACTTCTTTGTTGCCCCAGATGTCACTAAGGACTCATTTGAGGGCACTTATGTCCAAAAATATTTTGAACATGTTCCATGCAAGAGCAAAGCCTTGCAATTCATGCAAGGAAACCAAGAACTCCAGCGAGACCATTTAAGAACTTCTTTAAAATACAGCTTGCTAATTTGTTGCAGCTCAGTGAATCTTTAACGACCATTTCAACCAAGACCGTTTTAGACGTGACAATAGGTTTTAAAACTTTAAACGATGGAGACGGTGGCAGAGAACTTTATTGCCCGCCTCGTAACTGGAGGGTTCCTCAGGCGAGACACTCTACTCTCCTTGCCTGCTGGCGGTCAGAGGGACCAGAGGTGTTCGGCAGCCAGCTGTGGCTCATTGAATTGTAGCTCATCACTACCAGCATGTGAATGGATGAGTGCATGAGGGAATGACTGATTGTGTTGCGAAGCATCTTGGGGGGTTATAGAACCCTGAAAGATGATATGTCAAGTACAGGCCATTTACCATAAAAATATTTAACTTAAATGTTGAGCAAAATGACATAAAATCTTATTACATTTTAAAGGAAAACATCCAGTCTTCATTTGTATGTATGAAACCTGGCTGCAGGCTTTTATGTAAAGCTTACACATAACATTTTTTAGACAGGTATGACAGCGATAATTCATGCAACTCACGCTACCCGAAATGTGCAAGAATAACTTACAGCAGGTTTGGTTTTAACATCTTTTTCCAGACATTGCTTTTCCTCCCAGAGACTGCACGTGTGAGGCAATATACAAAAGAAAAAAAACATGAGAGAGAGAAATAAATGACAAGTTTCAGTTCCAGATTCAAGGGAAAGAGGAATGCACTGAAACAAAAGTGAATCAACATTTTGGGAATCTGACTAAGTTAAAAAGCCCACTGGAGAAGAAAAGAAGCAGAAGTCTATTTTATGTGGCGTCCTGTTAGACACACTGGTAGCATACAAATGCACCAGCACACTGGCTTCGTCTTACGTAAGCACATAAATCTCGGGTTCCACCACACAGTACGAATGTGCATTTGAGATCATAATTCCTGTGAATTTTTCATTTCCCTGCGGCAGATGCTTTTTGAGCAGTCGATTAGAGTTTGTATGAAATAATTTCAAGTCAGCTATGTCATTATGAAAAACCTTACAACAGCACATACTGTATGGTAGCACATTTCACAAAGCAAATGATATTAATCTTCCTGACAACTTGATATATTGGATATTAACTGATACCGAGAAAAACTGCTTGAATGCTGGATCAAGGAGAAAAAATGTGCTGAATTCCTGCGCACGTTTGGCTAAAGATAAAGAAAGCGACAGTTTTTAAAAGAGCTAATTTTCATGCTGAGTATCTGCAGGCTGATGGCCATGTGGAAAACAGGCGAGAAAGGAAAACAAACCGTGGAGAATTAAAAAATAAATAAATAAAAGTAGGGGAGAGAGAGAATAGATTCTGCTAGAGGGGATGGAGGAAGGAGTGGAAGGAGAAACTGAGACAGTGAGAGAATAAAGCTCACTCGCAAAAAGATACCATAAATAACATGCACACTCAGTGTGTTACACTGTAGATTACTGCATCCGCGGAGAACATCCTGTGAGTGGTTTTTATTTAATCTTTCAGTTACTGCTGGGCCAACAACTCTGTGAATCAGCAGTAAAACCCTCTATACTACAGATCATAATGCTTTTTTTCTTTTTTTTTTTTACATATAGAGGAGACTTTATGTTTAATAAAGTGTGTTTAATATGAAACACCACAAAAATCAAACATAGATATGATAAAAGAAAATTGGATTATTTTACTAGAACTATAGGTTTGTTTTGGTCATGTGTATGTTAGCAAAATATCTCACATCATATCATGTGAGAAACTTAAATAAATCTTACAGAATGATTCCCCTGGATGGACATGCAAATGGCCGTCACAAGTAATCAAAAGCAGCTAAATCTCAGTTTTTGTTATTTACTGTCCTGTCATGTCTTATTGTGTCTTGTGTTTGCGCATTGGGACAGCAAGAGAGGTAATTTCAACTCCTTTGTCTAGTGCAGGTGAAGAAATAGACAATAAAAGCTTTCTTATTTCTATCTCAATTTTACAGAAAGATCAGGAAGGTTTTTGCCATTAATTCAACAAATTGCCACCATAGCAAAGTATCTGCTGAGAGATTTTAAACTCTAGGGAAGTAACCACCGCACAGTTTTGAAGCCAAGCCAAATCAAGATGGCCGCCACAGCCAAATGACAATGGAAAATACAAAAAAGAAAAAAAAAGTAAACAAGTCAATTTTACAGACAATTAGCTAAAAGTTGGTGTTGCGGTACATTGTATACACTTTTTGTAACATCTCAGATTGCAGTTTGAACATTTCCTGTCAAAGCCAACCCTGTTTGGTGGCCTCGTTTCCCATGAACCACTGGACAGAACATTCTGAAAGGTTTTTGAATGTATATCAACAACTGGATAACGTTACGAGTCAACCACATCAAAGATGGTGGCCACAGAAAATCAACTTTGGAAAACATGAAACTAGTTGAAACTCAATCAGTTTGAGATAATGAGGACAAAAGTGGACACGTAAAAGGAGAAAAGTCTTTCTCAAGTCGTATTGTCATCTAAAAAAATCAAGCTATTTCCAATATTGGGCCAAATATATAGCTTACAAGTCTACGCAAACCATAGAAGTCGCAAAAGATTTTGCTCTGCAGGTTGGTCTAGCCACGCTACATTGTAGCTTCAGCGTTAGCTCAACTAAGCGTTGGCCTGGCCAGTCACAGAGCTCTGTGTTTGCAGAGAGCCATTAGCACCATTAAGGCTGATTTTAATTATGATGACATTTGGACTTGGGCTTTTCTTTAAGACATGAGCAGATAGAGGTACTTCTTCTTTGATGGTTTATGGCAGACTGTCTGTTGAATGATTTATGTCGCTATGAT